TCTCTCCATCTCTCTCTTCTTCCAATATCTGTTTCTGTCTCCATTCCCCTGTGAAGTTGCTGATAAAAACACTGAGCTATAGCCCGTGGCCCAGCTTTTCTTATAATTTACTTTCTTTTCAACTCTTTCTGCGCTCCTGTTCTCCTGTCCTATCACAATATTTGGCATTATCATCCAGATGGGTGGAAGGAGGAATGGGGAATGTGTGTGAAATAACAATAAAAATCTAGCAAGTCTTCGTACTTTTAACTTCTATTTGTGGTGCTTCACTAAGCACTAAAATAACCACTTTTTTAAACTATTTTTTTGGGGGTCCCAGGGTTCAAACTCAGGACCTTGAGCTTGCCAGACAGGCATTTAAGCCATTGAGCTATCTCCCTGGCCCTCATAATCATTTCAACCACAGAATCTATGGGAGGCAGAGTAGGGAGAGTCTTGGTCTCATTGATTTATTTTTCATTTATACTCTTTTAATCAATAAATCATAATTGTGCTACCTTAATAAAGTATGATGTGATGCATATACAATAAGAAGTGATTAAATCCACTTAATTAACTTATTTATCATCTCTGTGCATTTTTGTGCTGATACATTTGAAATTTAGTTATTTTGAAATATACATTACTGGGGGCTGGTGAGATGGCTCAGTGGTCTAAAGCACCTACTTAGAACAAGCTTAGCAAAGCACAGGGACCGCGGTTCAATCCCCCAGCACCACATGCCAGCCAGCCCCGCCCCCTGGTGGGCTGAGCTGGCCACACACACACACACACACACTAAATAAATAAATAAATAAATAAATTTTTTAAAAAAGAAACATTACTGACCATGGTATTGCAATAGCATTCCAATCCTAATCCTCCTGTCTATTTGAAACTTTGTGTACTTGGACCACGGCCTCCTCATGCCTTAAGCCCACCCTCATGGCCTTAGTATATCTTCTTATGTTTTCTGGAGTTCACCTTATTTTTCAGATTCCATATGTGAGTGAGATCATGGAGTCCTTAGTTTTCTGTGTCCAGTTTATTTCACTTAGCACTATATCTTCCAGTTCCATCTATGCTACTCCAAATGACAGAAATTGCCTTCTTTCTTAATAAAGCTGCATGGTATTCTATTGTGAATGTAAACCACATTTTCTTCATCCATTCAAATTTGTGTTCTTTTTTTAGGAGGTTGAGTAGGGAGCTAAATTTTAAAAAAAGGAAGGCCATTTCTGGTGTCACTAAGTAGGCACTTGGCTCTGCTTAGACATGATCAGAGCTACTTGAGCGTTTCTACACATTTCTTACTCAAAGGTTGCTGCTTAGTATTTAGAAATGACAGATTGGGGCTAGGAGTGTAGCTAAGTGGTAGAGTGGTTTGCCCAAAGTGCACAGGGTTCTGTTCCATCTGTCCCCACTGCTGCTAAAACAACAGAACAGAACAAAAAGCAAAAAATGTATTGATTTCACATATCTAGAAAAAGCATATAAAATACTATTAAACAAAAAAAGTAGCATCAAAGATGTAAATTAGTACCTGGTAGTATATCTTTTAAGCATCTCAGTTAACAAGTCTTATAAGAAGTGATCGTTTCCTTTCTTGCTTGTTCTCTATTATTATATCCCTCAAAATGAGCCTGAAGTATGAATAAAGTGATTTCTGAACAGTTTACAAATTCAAGGCAAGGGGGCCGGGGAGACTGCTCAGTAGAATAAGTGCTTGCCTGGCAAGAGCAAGGGCCTGAGTTCAATACCCGATTCTGCCAAAAAAAAAAAAAAAAAAAAAAAAAAAAAAAAAACCAAATTCAAAGGAAAGCATGTTATGCTATATTGTGATCAATAGTATTCATAAATTTTTTGCTTGTTTAGCATTCAATCAATTTTGCTTTAAATTTAAGATTGGATCAATGACTATTAAATCACATGGATGAAATAGAGTTGATAACAGAATTCAGTTTTCCATGAATATTTCTCAAAATGTATCTACAACATGTAAAATATCAATTTGCTTATTTTACAACTTTTTACATTTCCTCGTTTTTTCACAATATTTTTTCCCATGGGAAAACAGAACCAAAATGTGAAATATGTGGACCTTGGAGGATCCTATGTTGGGCCAACCCAGAATCGCATTTTAAGGTTGGCCAAGGAGCTGGGACTGGAGACCTACAGAGTGAATGACATTGAGCATCAGATTCACCATGTAAAGGTAAGCTGAGGCCAGACACTGAAAATTTGAAATTTTCTATGAGCATAACCCTCTGAGTTCCAGATCATTCTCTCAGAAAATCTTCTGCCTCTTTCATAATGCATATATGTTCTATAAATTTAACCACTCATTTATTCATTTATTATTAAAGACTTAGGGAGGAATTCTGCCCTATTTAAGGTTATATTGTCAATTTGATAAGATGTTTAACAAATCCAATGGAGAAAAACATTTGTGATTTATTTATTAAATCTCTCTCTTTAAATACCTGTGACCCCTTCATGTTATATAAAAACCAATATGCAATTTTATAAATGCTACCCTAGGCTTTCTATTATAAAGATTATTTGGAATATGGCTCATGACACATTTCAAAATATTATCATTCTGTCCTATGTTGGTTAAAATTATTCTTTTTTAGAGGCTGATGGGAAAAGGGCTCAAGCTCCAAATCCTGTCACCTGCTGGGAAGCTTCATTGATCATCCACAGGTCCTGCCAGTGCTGCCCCCTGGGTCTTTCCTTCTCCTGGTTTCAGCTTCTGTGACAGCTGTGCTCACTGAGGCTCATGGCTTGGAACTCTTTCCTTCCTTTATCTTGATGTTAATCTGGGTTCCAGTTCACATCTTCATCTTGATTTTCCTCCCTATACCCCACACATTTGCGTGTTGCACACAGGACCGAGGTTCTGAGCAGTGGAGGGCTTTTGAACTGCAGAAACACAGACAGCTTAGAAGTGAAGAGTGCACAGCCCAGGAAGTCCTTTGACCAAAGCACCCCGAGGGCCTCTCACTACTCCCATTTCCCTGTGGATTCCAGTTTCCTTGTATTTGTTGCTCTTCAGATTCTGTTCACATCTCTGTTTCCTGTTTTCCAGAATCCTTACCTTGCTCAAAAATATATAAATAAATGAAAACTACTTATGTTCTCTGACAAGCAAAGAAACAGGCATCTATTCCAGGCCCCATTCTGGAGTCTCAGAACTGGCAGAGCTTTTCAGTTTCCATAGTTTCCTAGCAAGGTTCAGCCTCAAGAAAAAGTGGGACTTGTGGGAGGGGCTTTCAATACTACTTCCTGTAAAATATTTGTGTTCATTGAATTGTACAAATAAAAACTCATTTTATAATGTTGCATATACAAAAAAATTTTCCATCGTTCCTCTCTTGTCCCACAGGTGGAAGTAATCAGTGTAGGCACATTTTTCTTTGTGGGTAGATGTTATCCTCTTAGAAAGATGGAAGTGGTGCTGGGATGGAAGCTCAATGGTTGATGTGTGCTCAGCATGGCTTGGCCCTGGGTTTGATCACTGACACTGAAAAAAAAGAAAAGAAAGGAAACAACCTCAGCAATGGTCAGCTTTGATTTATGTAGCAATTTTGAGACTCTTGTGTTTGTGAGTGATACTACCAAGAAAGACAAATAACAAACTATACATTATGAATCATTTAATAAAATAGGTTCCAAATATCTGCTTGGTATATGGTAGGAAAAAGGTTTCCTTGAGTTAGAAATAAACATTCTCATTGGTCTTCAAATTTTGTACAATTCGACATTTCAATATATTTTGACATTTCTTGCTTGTAGCAGAAAAAGGATCAGATGGATTAGAAATGAGAATGAAGCATGGTGATACTATGATATGATGAACACCCATCAACAGTTCTTTGTTGAGTTCTTTGGTTTTTTTAGATGTAGGTCAAAGGGCAGGCCAGATAGCTCAGCAGATTAAAGCACCTGCTTAGGCAGAGCGCAGTGGCCGGGGTTGATTCCCAGCTTGTCCTACCGGCCCCGCCCCCTGAGTGCACTGACTTGGCAACTGAGACTGGGCGTGGTGGCACCTGCCTGTAGTCCCAGAGCTTGGGAGGCTGAAAGCAGGAGAATCACTACGAGTCCGATCTATGTAGTGAGACCCTGTAGACCCTGTAATAAATACATTAAAAAAAATTAGTGTAGGTCAAGGTGGCTAATTTTTAATGTCTTCCTTATTCTACCTGGACAACTAAAGAAATTGACTTCTCCAAATATGAGGATCTCTTGGATTTTTCCAGACATAGGAGATGACCACAGATTATATTCATCTTTATGCCCTTGACCAGATAGGGATTCTGGTTAGTGCAGAGCTATGCCCTGCATACACATAGCTTTTTTTTTTCTGGTAATCTTACAGCTGCCATTAGGTCCTTTGCTTGAGAAAAATATTTCAAGTTATCAATTACAGAAATGATGATGTTAGATTTACATGATTTTTTACAGGCCTGGCAAATTGTACTGCTTTCTTAGACTCTTTGCAACACTCTTTGTGCAGGTAGGAAAGTACCTGCACTAGTAATTAAGCAGCATCCCTGATTTAATAGAGGGTAACTACCAACAGTGCTGTTTCTATAATTTAAAATAAATCTTAAAAAATAAATAAAATAAAATAAATCTTATTGCCTTTTAAATTATTGTAAATGTAAAGCATGTCTACTGTAAAAATATAATTAGAAAATATGGGTAAAGAAAAACAAATTTCAAACACCCTGTATAAGCCTATTTTGAGAAAAATCACTCCAAAATTATTGGTTCTTAGGCTCTCAGAGTCCAAAGTTGCTATTGTCTGACCTCTGCTGGAGAAAACAGGAAATATCAACAAATTTAAAAATTACTGTGTACCTATGCATATTTCTGTATGTCTGATATACTAATTTACTTTCTAAGTAATTCTTATTAATAACACAGATTGAAACACTAATGACTCTATGAAACTAATTTTTTTCAATCTTGACAAAAGTACCACTTTCGCTACCTTGTGGTCATATCTAGCGACAAGCTATAAGATAAAAAGTATAAACCTATTTTGAGAAAAATCACTCCGAAGTTGGATGGCTGTATCTTTTTCTAGAGTTACTGACAAGAACTAACATTCTATTTCCTATTGTATGCAAGAGAATTAGCTCACAAATTTGTCTCTTCTGTCAAGGAAGACAGAGCTCTGGGCATTTGAACATTTCCCTCTGTCACTACTTTATTTTATTTTATTTATTTATTTATTTATTTATTTATCTATTTATTTTGGTGGAACTGGGTATTGAACTCAGGCCCTTGCGCTTGCCAGGGAAGCACTTATTCTACTGAGCTATTTCCTCCGTCCTGTATTACAACTTTTAAATTTTTTTTAAAATGTGTTTTTTTTTTAATTTTTATTTATTTGAGAGAGAGAGAGAGAGAGAAAGTGTGTGTGGCCAGCTCAGCCCACCAGGGGGCGGGGCTGGCTGGCATGTGGTGCTGGGGGATCAAACCGCGGTCCCTGATGCTTTGCCAAGCTTGTTCTAAGTAGGTGCCTTAGACCACTGACCCATCTCTCCAGCCCCTGTATTACAACTTTAATGCCTGTTGTCTCCAAGTGCAAACTGTGGTTCATGTAAACACATAGCACATTTGTGCCTTGTTTCTTCAGCAAACCTGAATAGTGAAAGTATCTGGTATACTGCTTACCATATTGTCATCACCTCGGAGCAAATCAGCCCATTTAAAGGGATCTTTTATTTTAAAAGAAATTACTTACGTGATTGCTAATGGGAGAGGGTTTTGTGTGCAGCCTTCCTAATATTAGGTTCCTGGTTTATACTGGTTCTTTTTTGGTGGTGCTGTTAAGGATGAAAACCAAGGCTCTGCACATAGTAGGCGCTCTACTCCTTGAGCTACACCCCCAGCCCAATTGGTTGGTAATAAATTTGATGAAATTAAGCTACCCATAAAAAGACAAGGACACGGTAGCTCATGGTATGTTAGCTACCCACCTGAAAATGTGTTTTGCCTCAAGACAGGATGACTTCCGTAATTATAAATTCTCTGATAGGTACAGAATAAATGGGTAACAGATAGGGTGTGTTTATATTGGTTCCATAAATAAGCATCCATAAATCTTGCTGAATTGTGATAAACCACCCTCTATTTTATACTGCCTGGGTCCAATTTTTCAGAAATACTTACATCTATTGGATGGCATTCAGTATTAGTGCTACTATAGATCTGTTTTTATGCTATTAAAATGTGTTGTTTTCCAAAAACGACTTTGTGGTAAAAATGTGATATCACACAGTATTGGGATTTCATTATTACTCAGAAAAGTCATCATTTCACTTGAAATTTATATAATTTGGAGGTACTTTCATCAGTTCTAAAGTCAAAGTTACGGGCCGGGGAGATAGCTCAGTAGAATAAGTGCTTGCCTGACAAGCACAAGGGCCTGCGTTCAATCCCTGGTTCCACCAAAAAACAAACAAACAAACAATAAAAAAACTAAAGTCAAAGTTATGACCATTAACAATTATTACAGTACCTACTGGCCAAATAGCTCAGTGAATTAAAGCACTTGCTTAGGGGAGTTCAATTCCAGAGCCTGTAGTGCTGGCCGTACTCTCAGGGCATGCTGAGTGGGCGATTGAGACTAGGCGTGGTGGCACACGCACCTGTAATCCCAGCTCTTGGGAGACTGAACGCAGGCAGATCACTATGAGTCCAATCTATGCAGTGAGACCCGGTAGACCCTGTCCTAAATGCAGAAAGTAGACACACTGAGAAAGAAAATATTCAGAACATTTATTTTTTATTTTTTGGCTGGCTCAGGCTGCCTTAAGGGTGGGTCTGGTAAGGCATATGGAGCTGGGGATCGAACTGCGGTATCCTGCGCCTGGCTGCACTTACATAAGCAGGAGCTTAAACAACTGAGCTAACCAGCAGGCCCCAAAATAAAATATTCAAATGATAATTGTATTTAGAACATGGAAATCATCATGTTGCATAAAACCTTGGCATTTCTGGCAGATCAGCAGGCCCCTTCTGAGCCCAGTCTCCTTTAGGCTACTCATGCCCCTTCTCCATTTCACTACCCTCTGTGTTAACCCGGAGAAGCCTGACCCAAGTCCAGAGTGCACTTACTTTTCTTATGATGATGAGTGTTCAGACCAGTTCTGCTGAACTCTGTGTTTCACTAGGAACAGCTGCCTAGTTTACATGAAC